TGAACAGGTTATGAAAAAGTATTTATTATTCTAACAGAAGCAATATTTTCTCAACCCAGAGACAAATATGTGATCATCAACATCAAAATGACAAGAGATGACACAAAGACTAAGCGTGACAACAGGCTAAATGAGCCACAGGGTTTGATTTTCATCTTTCAGTCACATGCAACCTCTTTCTTCCAGCATTCTCTACTTGCCCTTCTGCTTTCTGTTTTACATTGTTGTTACACTGTTTTATTTCGCTGACTATTGATTAGTCAGGTAGACTCTTAATGTGATTTGAAAGCTTATAAATAAATAAATAAATCATGAAATAAGGAAGGAGTGACACATGCTTGTTTTACAACACAGCCTTAAAACTACACTCCCCGTGCTTTATACAGTATACAGATGTGCTTCCTGTACTGGACAGGCCTCCCAACCAAACAGCTGTTAGCTATTCCCAAGGTTGCCTGGGAAACGGTGCAATGGAAAATTCTTGGGAATTTCCATGTGCCAAAGGATTGTGGGGAAGTAACACAGCACTGGGGGTTGCTTCGTTACTCCCAAATTTTCTTACACACACAGGGATATGACTTTTTCTCAGGAGGAACTCAGGAGGAGAAACTTAAACCAGACACTAAAGCAACACTCAGAGGCCACACATAAGTAAGGGGTCCACACAATTTCATTGGGGGAGATTTATAGAAAGCCCCCTGCCACTCTACACAACTCTGTCGTGCATCTTTACCTACGTCTGAGTCAGGATGTTAAACGTCCTGTCCCCAAAGGCAGAGGCTTGCCTAAATATAGCCAGAGTTGAGATGGGGCAAAGGGGAGTGAATGGGTAAAAAGGAGGGAGAGGAAGAGGGGAAATTAAAAGTAGGAAAAAATTTAAGAAAAGAGCAAAGAAAAAACTCTGTTGACTCCTTGAGAGAGGGTGAAGGAAAATAAAGTGAGAGCAGAGAGCAAACATTATCCATGGGCACAGATCTCGCACCCTTGCCTGTGTGTAACAGATATAGCCCACCAGCTGCTTGGTTCAAGGCAGGAGCATGCCTCCTGAAATATACCTGCGAGCAACTCCCTCGTGGTGACGAGGTGCAAATCACAGCCAAGGAAACCCTAGACAGGCTGATCATGTCCATCTGCTCATTACATCTGATTCATCCTCATCAAACCTCCGGGTATTATCAGTGTCATACTCCAAGTTAGATTTGACACTGGAATAAAGTTGAAGGAAAATCTAATTTATCAACAGTTTTTTCATTCCTCAGTTAGATTAGATGAGACATTTTAAATCTCTCCGTCTCTCTCCCAAAGCAAGAAACAAGATCAAGGCTCTATGATTCAATCAAGACTCAAGGCTTGGAGCTTTTTACATTGAAAAAAATAAAACAGAATTTTGTAAAAAAAAAAAATATATATATATATAATAAAAGACCAGTGTGTTGGTTAGTGTAGCCAGCATGATTTCCAAGGTGTGGTTCAAATCTTCTAGCACCACAATGACGATGATAAAGCAAATGTGGCTGTAAAAGCATTAACAAGTTGTTGTTTTTTTTGCTGCAAGCCAACTTTTAAATCATGACTCCAGTGTTTGTCTGATCACAGCATTGCAGAATAAAGTTGTGATTATTAGTTGTAATTATACAAGTGGGAACTGAGCCATATTCATTACAGGCCACTGGGATGAAACAAGTGTCGAGAATGAGACATAGACATCATGCAAGACAGGCAGGAAACTGAAACACAATCAGGGAAATGACACCTGATTTTCAAAATTCCAGAAGAAAGCATTAAAGAATAGGCGCCATCATGACTTTAATGGCAGATTTTCTCACATTTTTTAAGAAAAAAATTAAAGGAAACTACTTTTACACTTCAGTTTTGAAAGCAAATAAGCTTTTATTCCAAGATGTCAAACTGTTTCTTTAAGGAAGTTGTTCATGTCTTGTCTGGATGTTGTTCATTTAGAATTCATACCTACCTACATACTGTATATCAGTATATATTTTTACACTCTTCCTGCTCACAACTGCCCATGCTGCTCTCTGCTCAGATGAAGTGCCTCCTCACATTATGCCCACTGATCGCGAGAGACGAGGCAGCGAACACGAGAAGCATGGCTTTTTAGCTGGTTGAGCATGAAATCTAGTTAGCCTTAAAAAAAAAAAAAAGCAAGTGAGGGTGGGAGAAAAGGAGCAGAGGGTGACAGAAACTGTGGAAAAAGGGAGGATGGAGACAAAATATGTCTTTTTTGGTGACTAAGGCAAAAGCCAGAAAGAAGCATATGATGTCTTGGATTGGACGCCCGAATTCAGTGTATGTGATCAAACAAAGATTTGGACATGTATTGTGTTTCTGGCTGTGAGGGCGGTAACAGTTAACAGTACACATGCAGCAAAATGTCCATATCCAATAGACATATGGGATCAAGAAGGCCAAGCAGTCTGGATTTGTTGTCTCTTTTTCTCTCCATCTCTATCTTTTCTTTTTTATCTCTCCTGATCTCTCAATGTGCTAGCTGGCGCCGAGATCTCTGGGGCACAGTCTATGACATCAGACTTTGCATTTCAGATTCAATGATGTTAATCATCCGCCTTCGGGCAACAAAGAAAAGAAGAGAGGAGGGTTGAGAGAGATAAAGAGATACATAGGGAGCCGGACGGAAAAGGAGATGGACAGGGAATGAACATGACTGGAAGGGAGAGCGATGAGAAAGAGAGTGAGAAGGGATGGAGGGAGGGCTGAGAGAAAGAGAGGGGACATGAAGATCTGAAGCAGACAGATGCTGGCATGTGAGGTTAGAGATGGAGCCCAGAGATACAGTCAGTCACACTTTGAGCCATGAGACTAGGAGGTGAGAAAGAAAGAAAGAAAGACATGGCAATCCCAGTGGACACATTGTGTATGTTAATGTATTTTTTTTAGTCATAAAACACTAAGCTACTTAAGACTTTGCTTATCTATGTTTCTGAATTTCCCAAAGGAACACAATATCTCCATGGGTCAGTCTCTCCATCCCTGCCTCTCTCTGTAACTTTCACCTTGAGGAGTCAACTCGAGGCTTGTCACTCAAAATCAACATCACCACAACATACACCAAGAGAATGGCTGCAGTTAAACGCAGGGACACAGTGAGAATCAGGGGATTTTTCTTGCCTGGTTTTGCATTGTACCATTGCTCCACAGCAAGAAATTATCATTATTAGTGATGGCTAAGAAGCAGATGTCAAAATACAGACGAAATATATGTGAAATATATATAGAGTGTTCTCTAGTTTGATTCTGGCATCATCTTTTCTACTAAATTAAGTTTTCCTAATTCAAACTAATTCAAGAGCTCCTGCCAATCTTGTTGTGAATTTTAATATTGTTTTTCCAGCCAAATTGCAGATTCTACTCAGTAAGTCAACTGTGTCAGTGAAAGTGGGTCTGCTGCTCGCCAAGCCTGTGTGAATATCATGTACACAACCCACAGATCAATCCACTTAGTGCCCATGAAATAAAGGGAGTGGGCAGGCCACTCTGCTAGTCTGACATCATTGTACTTGGCCATTAGGCTGAGTGCCATCATGGCTCACCACCTCTCTAAGGGACCGTTCTTGGGCAGCATTCAAAACCAAACGCTGTAGTCCTTGCGTCTGATAGAACCATCTGGAATATCTTAAACCTGTTGATTAAGTGTGAGGTGCAGCATCGCCCACCTACACGTTTGTTTAATTTAGGAGCTGTATTCCTGTGACTGTGGGTATATCATCTGTTACATCTATTAATGTTGCACTGCAAACATAGAGGTTGGGAGAGAGTGACCCCTTTATTTTATGTCAAGTTCATGACCCATCCTGCAGGGCAAGTAGAGAGTTGTCAGCCCATACAGTAAGGGAAATAATGAGTGCATACAGATTACTGTAAATTGGTAGATAATTGCACCTACTGAGTAACCAATAGGTGATTCTTACAAAACACTGGTTTCTCAAAGAGTCTGGCCACAAGTCTTTCGAGTTGCACACATGGTCTGATGAAAAATTTGAAATAGTCCACCATTATTTAATTCCAGGGTAGCAGCTAACAATTATTTTCATTATGGATTATTCTTCCAATTATTTTTTTGATCAATCAATAAAATGTTTGATCTATAAAATGTAGAAAATAGAAAATAATTTTCATCACAAGTTCCAAGAACCAAAGGCAACCTCTCCATATTGCTTGTTTTGTCTGACCAACAGTCAACACCCCAAAAGATATTCAATTTACCATCACAGGAGACAGAGAAAATCACCAAATATTCACATTTCAGAAACTGGAAGCAGTGGATGTTTGGCATTTTTGTTTAAAAAATGACATGCAACAATTAAATGGTTATCAAAATTGTTGCTGTCAGTCCACTAACTGTTTCAGCCCTAGTTCATTTTCACAAACTGATCTGTTCTAATAGTTCTCCAGTAGTCTCAGTATCAACTGTCCTGTATTATAAAACAAATCATGTTTATCCACAAAATGATCTAATGTGTCTCCCTCACACAAACTCTAAAGTGTAATATCTAATGTGTGTGTGGAGATGCTACAGGAAAAGTTTGGGAACCCCTGAGCCTCATTCACCTCACTCTACCTTCCTGAGATGATTCATATGACAGCAAGCCACATGCCCCACTGCTGCTGCTGCAAGCTGGCAACAAATGGAGAGCAGCTTTAAATATCATGTTGCACAAGGTAAAGTTGTATCCGAAGTAATGTGCAGTGCAATCATCATCACTTGGCAGAAAAGGAAGCGCTTTCTGCTTCTGCTGAGACGCTTCGAGGATAATGTTCCACCAACTGCAATTCACTGAGTTTGAATTGATTGGAAGACATATTTAATAGAAGTGAATGGTACTTTAAATGTGCGTTTTTCAGAAAATAAATCTTGACTGTGAAATACAAAACTCTGTAAAAAGGCTGGCTGTGATTTCTCCTACACAGCATATTATCCAAGACTTTCAGAAGCCAACAGGCTGTTTTGAAGCTGTACTCACATCTGAGCCGTTGGGAATTGTCCGGGCGACACACACGAAATGGTTGACAGGAGTAAAAGTAGGCAGACTGAGTAATCCATAGCTTTGTTTATTTCCCCTCAACCAAGATCCAGACAGGAAGAAGACGCACAAAAAAGGTTCACAAATCCACAGCTCCGTGCGTACTTCTCAGCCAAAACGCCTCACACCGCCATCGGTGCGCGTTTGGAAACAAATCTCATCTGATATCTGTGTCCCCCCCACCGGTGGAGTTGAGGAGTGTGCTTTTTTTGGTTCTGGCCGTATGTGTGTGTGACTGTTAAGTGAGTGTCTCAAACTGCGATAGGCTATTAGAGCAGATCTGTACGGCGTGTGTCAAAAAATAAAAGGAGAAAAGGGGAGGGCGCATTTAGATCTTCTGCTTGGCCGGCAGAGCGGTGCCACTCCGCACACTGCAAAAAACATCTTAACCGTAATTTAGCAGTGGCTGTTCTTACTGTTAAACACACGGGAAAGTGTGTTGAAGTGGCTGAGATTTCAATCACTCTTTCTGGTTAGAATTATTTAAGTTAAATGTTTTACTCAATATCTTGAATGTGCCATTCTGCTTTATATCATTGAAGATTTGGACGAATATTTCAGTCAAATTCTGACAAAAGTAGAATTAAATCCAATGTTCGAGCTTCACCTCTTCAGAAAAATCTAAATGACACTAGATGACATAAGATGGACACTTTTGACGTGTGAAATATTGTTAATGACATTTTTTACAGTGTGTGTGTGTGTGTGTCTTTTGTGTTTGTGTTCCTGACGCACAAACGGGTTTCCGGGCGCCCTCTCTACCCACCACACGCAGCGACAATTACGCATGGCTCTCTCGCCTGTTGGAGTCTTATCAAGCACTGGACACTTGGCATAAACATCACGCCGCCACCGCTCAACACCATGCGGCCATCTTCCTGTCTACTGCCTACACTTTTCATTCAGATTAATGGCCAGGTCTCGCTTTATCAACCTTGTATGACCTCCAGCTGCGAACAGCACCAAATATAAAGGCGGCTTTTTGTTTCCTTAGAACAGATGTTACATTTCTCTACTGCCTATAAAACTCAGCATCCTCAGATTGTTATTTCTTACCATGAAGCATTCATTTGCCTCCTAAAATGAGTTCCATTCTCCAAAAAATGAAGGGCTTCATTATCTCTCCACTGCATCCTTGAAATCAAGGATACACTTCAAACCAGGCGGGACTTCAGTCCAGATAAGGACACCTTTATTAGGGCATATGTGTTGCTGAAAGCGCTTTCAGGACTTCAACATGACTGCTGTCCATATAGGATTCAGCCAAACACCACGTGGAAGAATCACAATTTTCATCTAATAAAGGTTCTCTGTTTTAATATGTAGAAGCCTTCATTTAATTTGCAACAAGGCAGTGCATCTGCTTATGCAGAAATGCGATAATGAATTCCACTTGCTCCAAGGGCTGTGGCAAACCTAATATGAAGTGACATTTCCCTTTGCTGGGACAATCAGCAAGGTAAATACCAGAAGAATATGCTGTACTTTCTAATGAGTTTTCTCTGCAAAGCCCCTTGTCAGAAACAAAACTAATCTCTGACTAATTTCCGCAGAGTTCATCACTTATTATGGGTGCCCAAAGTTATTATTCCTGAGTATAATTTTGTTTGTGTTAAGGTGTGAATATAGATGTGTGCATGCATATGAGTTCACGTTTATTGCCATCAAGGTTCACACCAGACAAACAAGGCTAAGTGTTGCTCACCTGCTATTATATATGAATCACACAAATAGATTTACTGTGCAAACAGTTGTCCATGTCCCCCTATCAGGTTTCACTATAACTGACCTCTTGCCGGGCAGGGCTCGGTAATGGGGGAGAGGAGTGAATTTACAGAGAAACAGTGAAGAGGTGGGTTAGGAAAGAGTGTCAGCCAGACAAAAAGAGGGGAGATGGTTTAGAAATGTATTATATATAGATACACTAGACCACACAGATGAACTTTTTAAAATATTATGAGGACATTAGTCTGGAACAAACAAGCAAAAGGCTTGTGGCCATGTGTTGCCTTGTACAATAATCCAACACCAATCCCTCATGCTGCTTCTGTTTTGGAACCAGGCAAGTAAATGAAACACTCTCTTAAACAGGATTATATGGGATTTTCACAGGGATTAGTTTGTTTTACAAAAGCTTCTCAAAAGCAGCAAATTCAGTTTGACTAAATACATCCCATTCCCATAAATGATCAGATTACAGACACCCAGTGTGGTTTGATGTAATATTTATTCTTAAAGCTGCTATAATCAATATCTTTATGTCAACAATAGATCAAATGATTATGTGTAATGTTAAAGGGGTCGTGAGTAGTGACAAACCCATAGAGATTTATCACCAAACTGTGCAGTTCCCCCTTATATCTATGGAGCATTCTTTTAGCACATTGCTTTGGTTTTACAGCCCAGAACTTTATCGTTTTGGTTCAAAATTGCATTTATCTCTGTAAATAAAAGCTTGTCATTCTAAGGTAACGAAAACACAACAATTCTTATATTCAGGTGATTATACACTAATAAAAATATACCAATGAATATTATGTTTCAATTCTGCCAATAAATCCTTGTAAATATTACACACTGGATCTTTAAATGTTTTTTCTGTTTCTACATTTGTTATAATGCACACTGATGGTACCTGTGCTAGTTAGCACATTCATCAAAAGCATGTCTGAAAATGAATAACAAAACTAATTTCGTGCTGCCTACAACTGGACACAAACACACAAACAAATGTTTTTCATTGGGCATGTTAGATTCAACTTTGTGGAAAGGTTGTGTGGTTCTCAGTAATGCGGTTCAGTGCTCTTTTATTTGAACCTTTTTACCACTAAGGTACAGTTTGCTTCAGGTCACGTTTCGGAAAGAGCAGCAAAAGAGGTGAAATCAAGAGTGCAAGTGTGTGTGTAATAGAGAGCGACAGGGGGGTTGATGTAAAGGTTGTGTCTCTGAGTGAATTAGGAATGTGTGTGTGTGTGTGTGTGTGTGTGCCTGGTAGGCAGCAGGTGTGGCCTCTATCACCAGCCCCTGACCCCACCCACCTGTCCAGGGAATTGCCCAGCTGCCGTCGCCTAGCAACCCTTTCATCGTCTCCACGCCGACTCCTCACAACCGAGCCACAAGGCTGTTGTTTTCCCAACCAGTGAGTGCACATGTAATGTGTGTGTGTTCACAATGGGAGCAGCACAGAGAGGACAAAACAGGAGAGATACATACTCAGTATAATGAAGCAGAAGAAAGTAGCATAAGGTAGTTTATGAGAAAGCTGCTAAAATTAGCCTACTGAAACACATTTTATGACTTTTCACTGGCACCACCTGACAAAACAGTCTTTAGTATTGATTTCCCTTTAAGAAACTAAACCAACCCTTCAACCATTAAGCTATTAATAATCAGCTTTAACCAGCTCTCTTAAATTCTCATTTTAAACACACAAGCAAAGATGAGGAAGCACTGCCTAATAAAAAGGTTTAATTTTCTAAATATGTAGCAGCTCATTAAAAAACATTTGCAGGGGCAAAAGCCTTTGCATTTTATTCAAATGACATTTGAAATGCACCTATGGCCATTTTCCACATCAAATTACACTTTAAATTAATGTAAAGAAGACCAAAGTGTTTTCTTCTTTTTTTTATCTAACTCCTACATTTTTTACATTATCTTTGGGTTTGTGGTTTGTAGTTTTCTTAATGCTGACATCAGTGGAAAAATGTAGGTTGTAAGCATTTGGAGAGCAGCCCAAGCGACATGACATGATACAATATGATGAAGCATCTGTCAAATCTGACTCCTGTCTGAAAAGTTAAAATGTCACTGTCACATCCTCTCATATTTTTCAGTATCCTGCAAGACAAACAAACTGATGCATATACTGCTGAGCCTTCACTGAAGAGGAAAATTCAAGAAACTGCATTCATGCAAAAATCTTACATTATACTGTATTTTCCCCCACAGGCTGCCAAGCACAATTTATTTATTAATTCTTCTGGGCGAGTGTGTTACCCTGGCAACAAATTATCTCCAAGTTTAAAGTTTAATCGGCTACTCCCCCGCACAGTGTCTTCTTGGCGAAGATGATGGGACATGTGTTTTTTCTCCACATAGGCTGACACCAATGCATTCTTCATTGTCAAATCCAACTGTTATGAGGAAAGATGGAACATGATGGAAGACGGAAAAACCATCAAAATTGGAAGCGATTAGGTGGATACAGTTCTGTGTAGGAATTATATTTAGGTTTATTTTAAAAGTTACAGTTCCGGCATTGTGGGTAATAAGCTTATTCACTTTCTTGCACAGAGTTAGCTGAGAAGGTCAATACCACTGTCATATATGTCAGCCATGAAGCTGTGCAGCCAGCAGCCAGTTAGTTTAGCTTGGTATAAAGAATGGCAACAGAGGGATAGTAGTGAGTTTTAGAGGTGCTAGTAGGTGGAGTAAACCAAGCTTGCCTTTCCTCTTTTTTCCACTGTTTATGCTAAGCTAAGTGACTGCTGGCTTTTGCTTGATATTTAGCAGACATGTATGAGCAATACCAAAATATTCTCTTTAAAGTATTGCGTTATTCCTTAACTATTCATGTTCATAGCATTACTCTAAAGCTACCCTCAGCAGCTGGTTAGCTTATAGTAACTAACCAGGCTGGAACTTGCCTGGCTCCATCCAAAAGTAACAAAATGACCTACCAGCACCTCATAAACTAAAAAAAACAAAAACAAAAACATTTATGTTGAATAGTCTAAAAAAACCACAACATGCTGTGTTCACATAGATTTTGGAAATGTTGTTACATTTGAACATAGCCGAGCTAACTGTTTCCCCTTGCTTCCAGTCTTTATGCTAAGCTAAACTGATCACCTGCTAGTGGTATCAATGTTCTTCTCTAACTCTTGGTAAATATATAACTGGTCTTCTAAGACTGAGTTAAGCCACATATTTCTACATTCTTCATGTCAGTGTCTTTGCCAATTCTTAGTTGTTGTTGGACATCTTTGCTATTGACTGATCATCATAAGTAATAGTACATAAAGCTTTTGTGGGTCACCACAAAAAAAATCTTGCCACACAGTCTCCTCGTCGGTGACAGTCGGCATGGTTGTGCCTTGTTGACTCAGTGAAAGAGATTTGATGGCGAATGTGTGTGATATGATGTCTCACTCAGGACAGGGGCAGCCTCAGTCCCCTCTGTGCACTGACTGATCACATTACTATTAGTGAAAGCTATTTTGTCATG